TCCTTTGTTGCCTTGGCGGTATTTTGGGTCACTGTCATGCTGGAAGACCCATCATCCCAACCCATCTTCAGTGTTTTGGCTGAGAGAAGGAGTTTCTCATCCAGAATTTTACGGTGCATGGCCCCGTCCATCGGTCCTTCAATGCGGTGAAGTCATCCTGTAACCATAGCAGAGAAACAGTCCCAAAGCATAATGTTTCCACCTCCATGCTTGACTGTAGGGATGGTGTTCTTGGGGCCATAGTCAGCATTTCTCTCCCTCCAAACACAGCAAGTCGAGTTGAGGCCAGAGTTCAATTTTGTTCTCATGTGACAACAGCACTTTCTCCCAAGCCTTCTCTGAATCATTTAGATGTTCAGACGGGCCTGTACATGTGCCTTCTTGAGCTGGGGGACCTTGCGGGCACTGCATGATTTCAACTCATTGCAACGTAGTGTGTTACCAATGGTTTGCTTGGCGACTGTTGTCCCAACTGCCTTCAGATCATTAACAAGCTCCTCCCGTGTAGTACGGGGCTGATCCCTCACCTTTATCACGACCATCCTTTCCTCATAAGACGAGATCTTGCATGGAGCACCAGACAGAGGGCGATTGATGGTTATTTTGTATTTCTTCCACTTCCGAATATTCACACCAACAGTTGTCTCCTTTTCAAAAAGCTTCTTGCTGATGGTCTTGTAGCCCATTCCAGCCTTGTGCAGGTCTACAATCTTGTCTCTGACGTCCTTTGACAGCTCTTTGGTCTTGCCCATGGTGGTGGGAGAGGTTTGAATGGAAGATACACCTTCTATGGACTGGTTTCTCTTATACTCATAACAAGATGACATTAGGAGTAATTTCTTAAAGTGACAGGACTAATCTGTGTTCCACTTGGGCACACAACCAATCTGTGCGAGCCAGAATTCTTGCTGGTTGGTAGGGAATCAAATACTTATTTTAAGTCAATTTATAACCTTTATATAATGCGTTTTTTCTGGATTTTTTTTGTTGATATTCTGTCTCTATCCGTTAAAATAAACCTACCATAAAAATTATAGACCCTTAATTTTTTTGTAAGTGGTCAAACTTACAAAATCAGCAGGGGATCAAATAATTATTTTCCCCACTGTATATGAGCCTCTGTTTGTACAATAATAAATTGAGAATCAACTAAGATGTACCCTTGTGTGTCACTAATTTGGTTCTCCCGCCGTAAAGAGAGAGAGATTGCTGCAGATCAACTTGGTTGTAGAAGACTGTTTACTGAGCAAAAAAATGATCTTACACGTACCTAAACAACGAGCAGGTAAAACCATCCTAATAAACACTAGCTGCCATCAAAAGAACGAGCCCTTATTCCACGGATAAAGTGAATAATCTCACGATGACCATGGGATACTGATATTACAGTTGTCTCTAGCTGGAGACTCAATCAAAAAACAAACAAAACTAAAATTGACGTCAGGAAATGACACTGGCCATTTCGTTGGGTTGTTTGTAAAGTCACAGATACTGTACGGACAATACAGCTCAGTTTTTTTATGTATCTTGCTCTGTTGAACGGAAAAAGTGACTTTACGTAGGCCATACTGGATTAACACCATGCATTTCATGTCAGCGGGAAAGGATTGTTTTCCCCATGCCGCGCCCCCAGCTATGACATGACCCCGACCAATTCCATGGTTGACACCCTCTCATTAGCATGTTGCACAGAGGAAAAATAAATGCAGAACTACATTCAGAAATAAATGAGTGATCAAAGGAAAATAAATAGGATGAGTTTAGCATTTCCTTAAACATTTTCCATTTTCCCACCAATTTATTTTATTTATTTGCCTACTTTAATCACGTTTAATTATTTCTATATGTATTTAAACAAGAATTTGTGTATTTATACACACATTTATTTGCATATTTATTTACTTATTTGTGTATTTATTGTTTTTGCAGGTTTCGTCCTCCATAACACACAGGTGCATCTCAAAAAATTAGAATATCGTGAAAAAGTTCATTTTTATTTAGTAACATTTCAAAAAGTGAAACTTTCATATATTCTAGATTCATTACATGTAAAGTAAAACATTTAAAAAGTTTTTGTTTTAATTTTGATGATTACAGCTTACAGCTCTTGAAAGTCAAAAATCCAGTATCTCAAAATATTAGAATTTTTACATTTGAGTTTCATTAAATGACCATCCCTACAGTATAAATTCCGGGTATCTCTTGTTCTTTGAAACCATAATAATGGGGAAGACTGCTGACTTGGCAATGGTCCAGAAGACAATCATTGACACCCTCCACAAAGAGGGTAAGTCACAGAAGGTCATTACTGAAAGGGGTGGCTGTTCACAGAGTGCTGTATCAAAGCATATTAAATGCAACGTTGACTGGACGGAAAAAATTGGGTAGGAAAAGGTGCACAAGCAACAGGGATGACCGCAAGCTTGAGAATACTGTCAAACAAAGCCGATTCAAACATTTGGGAGAGCTTCACAAGGAGTGGACTGAAGCTGGAGTCAGTGCATCAAGAGTCACCACGTTTAGACGTCTTCAGGAAAAGGGCTACCAAGCCACTTCTGAAACAGAAATAAAGTCAGAAGCATCTTACCTGGGCTAAGGAGAAAAAGAACTGGACTGTTGCTCAGTGGTCCAAACTCCTCTTTTCAGATAAAAGTAAATTTTGCATTTCATTTGGAAATCAAGGTCTGGAGTCTGGAGGAAGATTGGAGAGGCACAGAATCCAAGCTGCTTGAAGTCCAGTGTGACGTTTCCAAAGTCAGTGATGATTTGGGGTGCCATGATGTCTGCTGGTGTTGGTCCATTGTGTTTTATCAAGTCCAAAGTCAATGCAGCCATCTACCAGGATATTTTGGAGCACTTTATGCGTCCATCTGCTGACAAGCTTTATGGAGATGCATGATTTTCTTTTCCAGCAGGACCTTAGCACCTGCCCATAGTGCCAAAACCATTTCCAAGTGGTTTGCTGACCATATTACTGTGCTTGTTTGGCCAGCCAACATGCCTGACCTGAACCCCATATGGAATCTATGGGATATTTTCAAGAGAAAGATGAGAAACAGTCGATCCAACGATCCAGACGCGCTGAAGGCTCGATAGTGCCTCATCAGTTCCACAGGCTGATCACTTCCATGCCACACATCACTGATGCTGGAGTTTGTGCTAAAGGAGCCCCTACCAACAATTGAGTGCTTAAATTAACATACTTTTATGAACTTGAACTTTTCTGTTTTGCAAATCCTTTTTTTAAATTGATCTTAGCAAATATTCTATACCATTTTGAGATACTGGATTTTTGACTTTCATGAGCTGTAAGCTCTAATCATCAAAATTAAAACAAAACAAAAAACTTCTGAAATGTTTTACTTTACATGTAATGAACCTAGAATATATGAAAGTTTCACTTTTGGAAATAAGAAAGAAGAATATTTTCACGATTTTCAAAATTTTTTGAGATGCACCTACATATAGACTCCAAGCTTTTGAATGGTATAGTGCATAATGTTACAAAAGCTTTTTATTTCAGATAAATGCTGATCTTTGGATCTTTCTATTCATCAAAGAATCCTGAAAAACAAATTTACTCAACTGTTTTAAATATTGATAATACTACTAATAATAAATATTTCTTGAACAGTAAATCAGCATATTAGAATAATTTCTGAAGGATCATGTGACACTGAAGACTGGAATAATGATGCTGAAAATTTTGCTTTGATCACAAGAATAAATTACATTTTAAAATATATTCAAATAGAAAGCAGTTGTTTTAAATAGTAAACATTTAACAATATTTCTGCTTTTGCTGTATTTTGGATCAAATAAATGCAGGCTTGTTGAGCAAAATAGAATTCTTTCCTAATCTTACCGTCCAAAAACGTTTGACTGGTATTTTATATTCAAATTGAAATCAGTAGCTTTGAATTTTAACAGTATTTCACAATATCGTTTTTACTCTAATTTTAATCAATCTCGGTCCAAAACACTTATTACAAGAACAAAAAATCATCCCCATTTATATGCATGTATCTAATCTGGGCCAACGGTATATCACTTACTGTAGGTTCTATTATTTAATAGATTTATGTGTGATAAATAAAAATTCAAACAAATTAATTTGATATTAAAACAAAGCAAATGTATCCACTACTTTTTGTTATGACCTTAAACTTTTGTTCATATTTGTCAAATTAGACTGCGACATGAAATTGCTATTAAATTAACATTAGATTATACTGTATTCTTGTTTAGACACTGTGGGTGGGTTGCACCAATAAAGATTCATCTAAAATCTAAATTAAATCAAGGTTTATCTAACAACTCTGTTGCACCAAACTATTAAATTTGACAAAAGCAACTTATGTCAGAGACAGAGGATAAGGAATATTAGCATTGTTGCTGTTTAATTGACGAATCCATCATGGCGGAGAAAATTATTTGTTTTAATCGCAGGTTAGAATTCGAATCCCCGATTTGTTAATCTAAGTTTAAAATTAAGTGGTGCAACACAACTTGATTTAAAATAAAACTCAGATCAACAAATCCTTGATTAGCTCTAAACTTTGCTTAATTGAATCCTTGTTGGTGCAACCCACCCTGTATCTTTGAAACTCATCCAACAATTTGTCCAAACAGTGAATACAACCAAAATGTCTGCTGACATCTAGTGGTGAAAATATAAATATCACAGATAATGTTACTGCTCAAAATGCCTGGGAGCAAGAACATGTTGACGGTTTGCCATAAATAATTATGCCAATGAACTCTAATAAAATCTAGTCAACTAACAGTTTGGTATTTATTAGTGCACTATAGAAATCTAATATTAACCAAATCACTTCTCCAAATACCCTGAAATGGGAAGGAAAAAACCTTGACGAGATTCAAGTATTAAATCTAGTTTTTTCTTTTCTTTTCTTTTTTTTTCACAAAAGGTCATATTATTTAAACCATTCACACATTTACCTGTGAAATGCTATGGGGAAAGAAGTCAAACAAAAACATTAATATGAAAAACAGGTTTATTTGTCTGTGTGCCAATGAAATTGAGTTTAAATTCAATATTTTAATCAAACATTTAAATGAAGAGATTCCACCTTCTCATACTGGGGTAGAGCTCGAAGGTTCCCTCCATAACAACATGCTCAGAGAGTTACACAGGGTCTTCAGGCCTCACATGCCAGGGACTGGTTTACTGTCAGGCCTTCACTAACGTGCAAATCCACATAAACGTGCTTCTGAGAAGTCACCACAAGCTTTACCAAACCAGCACATTCAACAGGCTTCACTCAGACACAAGATGAATAAAAGGCCACAACACGTCAACGATTCAACAATATGCAGCAGAAAAATCAACTAAAAATGTCCCGATCGCTTAAACTCAAACCAGAGACTGATGCATTTACTTTCAAAGACCCAAAAAAAAAAGAACAATTTATGTTTTAATTTCCATTATTGAGCACAAAAATGAATTGTGGTCCTTTGATTCAGTTTGAGATTTATACAAAAAAAGCAAATAGTGAAAATATGGCTTTAAATATGAAACTGTGAGACTAAATTTGTTCTAACTTCTCACTAAGAAATTCTTCGACGCTGTCTGTGTTCCACTTGAGGATGCTGAGCTCCTCAGCTATGTTCCCGTTATCGTCCAGCAGCTTTAGTACAGGATCTGAGCCTCTCACATACTGCAATGAATTTTAAAAAAGCATCTAGATTTAACCAGTGTTTAAACCAAGTATAAAAGCAATAAAAAAAAATTTAGACAAAAGTTGTTTGTACCAAATAATTTTATTTTATATGCGCACGTACACTACTGTCCAAAATCTAGGGGTTGTTGATATATATATATATATATATATATATCTGTCACTTTTAATTTATTTAATAGATCCTTGCTAATGAAAGTATTAATTTCTTAATAACAAGTAGTAATTTCTTTTTTTTTTTTACTTTTGAACAGAAGTGTATGTCCATGCGCGTTTATTACCTTTATAATTTATTTACTTTATTACTTAACTATTATCTAAAAATAAAAAAATTATAAAATAATAAAAATTCTTTACCTTGATCTGAAGACCCCTGAACATCTTTGGCTTGTCACTCCTGACAAAAGCTGAAGGGATATATAGCCACAAAAATGACTGTTTTGTAACAGGAGTGCAAAAGTTAACACTCTGATAGTCTATGCCACAAAACAACAGCTGAACTGCCGCTACAAGAAAAACACCCTTTAAAGCATTTCAAATTAACTTGGTTTATTCTGCTACATTTCTAAGCCATTTTTGTATAATCATCAAGCAGTACAAGAATTATAAAGTGTCAATTACT